AAAAATGTGAACTGTTATGAATGGGTGAAATTCAATAATACATATACATGTATTAAAATTAAGGTGTATTAGAATTTTGAAACTTCAATTCGGTAAAATTACTGAAACTTGAGAAAGTAGACGTGAGTTTTTCACTGTTGTCAGTGACTTGTTGCCAATATATTCAGCTGAATATTATTTCGTTGCAGGTCAATGTAAAGCGCACATTTACATGGATTTAGGTGTGAAATCTTTGCATACAGAAATAATTGAAAAGTTGTAACGTTTGCAGATATGCTTGATTTCACAACTTTAAAAAAACATTTAGAATTTTTTTCATAAAGAAAAAAACCAAAGGTCTCCAACATTTATTTCGTATTTCAAAGACACCTTACAAAGCAAGGTGCTTGCCTTCGTTACAACGAATCAAGAGGGGTCCGTTCATGTTTCATGGAATATTTCCCATCTTTTTGTGCGCTTTATTGTAGATCTTTAACAAATCTAAAAATCCAAGCCCCCCCCCCCTCCCCCCACTGGATTGACTACGTCAAAGCCCTCTGTGAAGACTAGTAAATTTCAGAACGTTCAGAATTTCACGAACATACGCATAACTCTTTCTATCTTTATTCAAACTCTATTCAGTTTTATAAACAAACATCATCAGGGTTAACCCCCTCATCTACAACGTGCACCCACTTAGAAATATATGTATGTGCAAATGATATAGGTAATGTATGACTCCGAGCAAATTTACGCCATGGTGATTCTGCACGAAATATTTGCAAAAAAATATATTTGGAAATGCTCGCGCTTTTGTGACTGCTAATGTACAATTTATCTATATATTTGTCGGAATTTTTTCCTAAAAACAGATTTTAAAAAATCTGATTGTTTTGCTTAACTGCTCTCAACTAAAGCAGATTTACATATTTATTTTTCACAACCAAAGGCTATAAAACAATATTTGATTTTACGTGTAAAATTTCGGACCATACTTTAAAGGCAACATTAAAAGTAAATCGTAAAACTTATTCCATACATTTACATTTTAATGTATATTTTAGTTATGGCTGTCATATATTTAAAGTTTTGAGTGCTTTATAATACCTCTACTGTTATTACTCGATATAAAATAAATACATAAATACATAAAACACGCTATTTCGCTCAGAAAGCATTACTTCCCCCAACTTAGCACTACTTCCTGTAATATCAGTGCTACCCTCTGGGACTACTCCTTCATTAATATTCATTAATATTTTTAACTAATCAAATTTCGGGTCTGTGGCGTATTGTTATTAGCAAAATTAACTTTGACTTCAAAACAATTCAATGTGCGATGTCGAAATCATATAGGAATTATAGCAAAATGACAAGCTCGATAATTGATTAAATTATCTGTGAGATAGTTTTAATTTTTAAACCTGTAATTATTTTCCTCGGTATTGATACAATATCGATATCTTGAATTTTAGATACATGTATTTATGCTTTTTGAATGCCTCTATGTTGTCTAAAATGTCTGAGTATCTCCTTTGATTGTTTTGGTATTGTAAACAGCAATGGATTTGATACTCGAGCTATAGCAATTTTATGGTTCCCCTCGGCAGGAAACTATTTCCTTCGGTGGCTTCGCAGCCTCGGGAAATAGTTCCTTCCCTCGTGGAACCATAAATTTTCTATTTATTTCCCTCATACCCATTCGATATCTGTATAACATTTTTTCGAAAGTCACACTTGTAAGACTACATGTATTGAGGAACGTATTTCAAGACTCGTAGAATAAAAGATGTATACTGAGGTATCACAAAAAACATTGTGCTATTTGCCTGTACATTGTATATAGAATAAATGGAAGTGTGGGATATTTTAGTACTCTTGTTCAATACCAATGCTGACGGGCACTATGCACGTACATGAACAAACGGCATAAGTACAAGCAGCGTCTTTCAGTACAACTTACGCGTTGTTATGCCACCGGATCGAAAGATCCCGGGGGTATATTGTTTTTGTCCTGTCTGTCTGTTTGTCTGTTTGTCTGTTCGTCTGTTTGTCTGTTGACAACTTTAACCTTGCACATAACTTTTGATTGGTGGAAGCTATGACATTCATATTTCACATGTGTATTCCTTGTGACAAGATCTTTCTTTGGGAACCATCATATTTGACCTTTTTACCTTGACCTTGGAGTTTGATCCACTTTTGCAAAATTTTATGAGACTTTAACCTTGGCCATAACTTCTGAACAGTTGATGCTTGGGGTTTCAAACTTCAAATGTGTATTTTTTGTGACAAGGCCTTCCATTGGATACCAACAACTTTGATCTTTTGACCTTGACCTTGGAGTTTGACCTACTTTTGAAAAACATTAACCTTGGCCATAACCTTTGAACAGTTGGTGCTTGGGGTTTCAAACTTCACATGTGTATTCCTTGTCACAAGACCTTCCTCTGGATATCAACCTCTTTGACCCTTTGACCTGGACCTAGGAGTTTGACCTACTTGTGGAAAACCTTAACCTTGGCCATAACTTTTGAACGGTTAGAGCTAGGGCTTTCATACTTCACATGTGTAATACTTGTGACAAGATCTTCGTTTGGATACCAACCACTTTGACTTTTTGACTGTGACCTAGGAGTTTGACGTACGTTTGAAAAACTTTAACCTTGGCCATAACTTTTGAATGGTTGATGCTAGGGCTTTCATACTTCACATATGTAATCCTTGTGACATCACCTTTCTTTGGATTCCAACCACTTTGACCCTTTGACCTTGACATAGGAGTTTGACCTACTTTTGAAAAACTTTAACCTTGGCCATAACTTTTGAATGGTTGGTGCTAGGGCTTTCATACTTCACATATGTAATCCTTGTGACAAGACCTTCCTTTGGATACCAACAACTTTGACCTTGACCTTGATGTTTTACTTACTTTTAAAAAACTTAACCTTCGCCATAACTTTTGAACAGTTGCAGCTAAGGCTTTCAAATTAAACATTTTTTATCTTTTGGCCTGGATTTTGACTTGCATTTGAAAAACTTTAACCTTTGCCATAAGCTGCCATACGGGGGCATCAGTATTTCACAAACACATCTTCTTTTCAAAATATTTTTCATTCATGTTTATTATTAAATGTATACTTGTATGTTGTTTACTATGACCAATGTGATGGACCTTAAGATAAAAAAAAATAATAGCATTATTTTGCGTCAATTGTGCGTCATTAACATCGATATGAAGTAAATTACGTCGGTTAAATATCATTTTCCGTATTCAATTTTTCCAAAATTCATATTGAACACAGGTGACAACCAACACTGTTTTATCTGTGTGAATGAGATGTACCAATGAACATAAATGTGGAATAGAAAAGTGGTTGTTGCATGTGAAATGGCTTAATTTTAGGAAAGATTATTTATTTTACAAAATCTTTAAGGATTGAAATCAAACATTCCATGTTTAGCTGGTATAAGTGACGTCATTGTTGTATCTGTGGAATTTAGTTCGCATCTTACTAAATTTAATGCTCAACATCAATAAACGAAAGAAAAAAAAATTAAAAATCGTAAATTTTGCGGCCAATAACAGCTAATACGTATCTTGTTCTTTTAAGCACACTCCTTTAGAATAGGTCATCGACTGCTGTATATTGTTCTTCAGATGTAATAAGGGAGGGTGGTAGATGGAAATCTCAAGTGTACACGCCGTACATTTGCTGTCAAACTGTTAAGATTTTAAAACCTTTTTTTTATTTTGCAAGTCATTAAAAACAGCATTATTTTTGTGGTATATAATTTGATTATGTTTAGGGGTGAAATGCAATTAGTATTTGTTAACAGTATAATGAGAAAGTAAAAACAAGGGGTTAATCCCCTAGCATTGGGATAAGTTGAATGAAAATATATATGAAATAACGAACAGTAATCAATCTCTAAATTCCATTGAAAGAATACAAATTGGAGCAGAGCAAACACGGCCCTATAAAAATATCAGAAGTGGGATCAGGTGCAATGAAGGAGTAAGCATCCCCTGCCAACCGATCATACTCGCCGTGTGCTCCTTGTAATGATCGGGCAAATGGAAAATCGTAGTTCATACATGAAAGAAAAGAATGAAATGTAAGCCTTAGGATATTACTTCCTAAATTCCAAAGTCATACAGCAAATACAAAGACGACATATACATTGATGTTACTTTCTTATCTTTATTATATGTGTAACTATAAATTTAAGCCAAGGATAATCATAATTTGGTCATAAGAAACTTATTCTTAATGGTAAGATTTAAAGCATTCTTTCACTTTAAAATGATAGAAATTAAGATACAAGTATTAACAGTTATACATCATATACTTAACACTAGATGATTAATACGTTTATATCACAATTTTTCATTTGTATTATCGTATAGAAAATTTTGTTCCAAACATAGCTTGTATGCTACAATCCAAGATTAATTATATCATTACATATTAAAAATAAATGACAGATCAGTTACATATTGATATGGTAATGAAAAGCTATAATATAAAATAACTATAATTATATTATAGATTATAAATTAATCTATAATATAATTAGGTGTTTAAGCTACATCAGAAACATAGGCTTACATCAATAACTTTACATAAACAGCATCTTCACGGAATAAAATAGGATCAATCACATCATTATAATTAAATCAATAACATCACTGTAGTAATCAGATTAATCATTTTAATAGATCAATTTGCACATATATTGTATATTGAATATCAATTTTCTTAATAAGGTTTCATCAAATGATACACTCCTTTATTACTTTTTCAACCGTAAAAAACTGTAAATATATTCATTTCATAAAAGTGATAATTTTGAAGCTGATATTTTTCACATTGAAAAAAAAAATATCAGAAGTGCAGCAGTACTCTCATGCAATTTCCCTTCACTACCAAAAGTAAATATAGTAAAACATGCCTAATCCAGATGATGTGTATTCCAAAATCTTGTCTAATACGATGCAATATTTAATTTTATTTCAGTGAATATAATTGTTGGAATGTTGTTTAGTCCGATCAATTTGGAACTAGAGGAGTCCAGATAGACAATATTCAATTTATATGGTACAGAACTACCCGCCTGCCAATAGTTCTTCAGTGCTTGTAATTGTTGTGAAAAAAAAAAAATCTGACGTACATGTAAAATAGAATTTTCTAAATCAGACATAAAAACAACATTTAACACACTTAGTGAGGTTTTATCATCATAACAGTCTCTTTTTTCTCTCTACCTTCCATAAGAAGCGGATACCATGGATAAAACCAGTCTTCCGGGGACCAGGGACCGTTAAGGAAGGCCTGATGACAGGCGTTATACCACCAGCCTCCTCTTACTTTACTGTCAGCAGCACAGTTAACTTCACTCCACCTGTCGTTGTCCTTGTCTGGTGTACTAAAGTACATTCCAGACAGATCTGTGTCAGACCTCCCTGTGTTTAACATACTGTCTCCTGTACAATAATCAAGAATAAATATATCACACGGTCATGTATATCAAATCAAATATATCACACGGTCATGTATATCAAATCAAATATATCACACGGTCATCTACAGTAATCAAGAATAAATATATCACACGGTCATGTATATCAATCAAGGATAAATATATCACAGGGTCATGAATATCAAATCAGATCATTTCTATTTACAAAGTTTAAAGCTGAAGAAAATCACATACTATGTTTATATTATACACCCTTTTAATTTACTCGTATTAATCATTGTCAGCATAACAAACACATGTATCCAAATAAAATAGAATTACTTCAATTGTAAATGATATAATATTATCAAATGTTTTCCAATTGTTGTTGTTTGCATTTCTTAAAGTTATTATACTGGAATCAATACAATTTGTCCACTTTGCTATCACTTTAATAATTATAAATACTTCAAAATTACGTAAATAACAGGCACATATTCGAATGTTGTGTTGCTTTTGGTACAACTATTGTGTATTTGTAAAATAAGCACACACAGTTCATGTACATCTAGTCATGGTAAGACAGGCTATATCAAATGTACAGAGAGATAATTTCAAAACTTCCTTTATACTAGACATACTCTATGTTTGATGTGCTTAGTGCTAAACATACATGTATTGTCACTTTAAGAGTGTACTAAGTATTTAAGAAAGCCTACTGGGGATTATTTGTGTGAAAACTTCAACAGAGAATCTCTATAATTTTATACCATATGTACCTTACATTGATTTCAATATACATTCCAAGTTAAGAGAAAATCTACTGCATGGGTATTTTGAATGCGGAACGGTTCGCCCCGAAAGACCATTCGCGCTGAGACGTTTCGCTCCAAGACGAATCGCGCCAGATGTTATGATTTCCTTAAATTAAATCGTAATTATCCCTTGTAATTAATTACTACTAACAATGAAGGCTTGTAAGTAGTAATTATTACCTTTCTAGTGACTTTGTATTATTTTTAATTTTTTAATGACTATTCCGTATTATTTTATTGTATATTATTGTCTATGTTGAATAAAGTATTACATGCCACACAAAGCATTGTAATATTTTGTTTAATGGGTTTACTAATCTGAGATACCGGTACATGTCTGTTTTGAGCAAGCGATATTTTATAGTGACATATACACTTACATTTTATTTAAAGGAGATGGGCGAACATAGCGTGCAGAAAGCCTATAGCTTCAGAAATATAAAAATCATGTTCAGTTTGTGAATCTAATATTTAGAGTAAAGTTCTCATTATTGAAATTTATGAAATTGTGATAAACAAAACTTTTCTGAGGAAAATTTTCTCGGCAAAATTTATTCTTTTATAAAAAAAAAAAAATTAATGTGGTGTTCGTGGGGTTCGAACCCTAGCAAAAAAAATGCTGAGTATCATTTTCTTTCGAGACTAGCACGCTAACCACTAGACTACACAAGTCCTGATGAACAGCGGCATTTAAATCATGTTTGTGATATGACCCTTGACTTAATGGACTTCAAGTATTTCTCGAAAAGATGCGAATGTTATGTCATATAAGTATATTTTTAAGGAATAGTGGGTCATTGCTCCATATTTTTGGTAACCAAAAAATGTATATTTTTATGCAAACTTTGAGGATTAACTTTCAAAAAGGTGGAGCGAAGACCCACTCATATCGAAAAATAGTGTTACAGTATGAGAAAATGACTCTTTTTGCCCGCTTTAGTGTGTGTTTAATATTTCAAAGGCAAATAATTTCAATCTTTGAGGGATTTTTGCAAATTGCAAAGATTTTACATAAAGTATATTTTAATGTTAGACGAAATATCAAGGAAAATTTTGATATAATTGAAATTTAATTTTTCATTTTCATGTTTGTCACACTATAGGCTTATCGCTCGTCATGTTCACCCATCTCCTTAACAAAATGAAACAACCGACCCGACCATACATATATGTTACGCACAACGTTTTTCATTATTAAAAACAGCAGTTGGGGGTTTTTCAAAGATAAAAGTACTTTCTAAATTGGACATAAACAACTTAGAAAGTATTGAAACATATTTTCAGGCCTTTTACGACATTTTTCCATTTTTTCGGGGGGGGGGGGGGACAACATAAATATAATTTACACAAAGTCTACATAAACTAATAAACAGACTATTTGAATTGTTATTTTATTAATTTTTTTCCTTCTTCTATCGAAATCATGTAAATAGACGCATATGTTAATAGTACAGTAAATGTAAAATGAACCAGAGAAAACAGTTTTATTTCTATTTAGGACTTATATCCCTCGTTGATTTTGTAATGCCATAAATGCCTGCGTGATTCATACTTAATTAATACCCGTCTCAAATTTTAAATATTTACTTCAATGGAGAGAAAGTCTCCAAATTTGTTTTAACACCTTAGAAAACTTAATTAGTCACTTAATTACGATTGCTGAATAAAGAAAACTATATCTGCATGTGGATAATTATTAACTTGAATAATCCGTAAGGAAAAAAAATAAGCTTTCATAATTTTTAATTATAATATTGTTTTTAGATAAAGTCAATATAAACTTTATATATAAAAAGATATAAGCATCGATAATATTTATAGATAATCTTCTATTAGATTATTATTACGCGAAACGTCTTAGTATATGAAAGGTCTTTTGGGGTGAATGGTCTCGGCGCGAATCGTCAATTAGGGCGAAACGTCTTTACCGGTATTTTAAGGGACCGTTTCAAAATACAGGTACATTTATTATAGGATTATCTTGGAATATGCTAATTTTTCGCCCTTCTTAGCAAAGTTATAAAAATTCTTCAAAAGACGTTTTGCTTCAGTTGTGATATTTGATAAGTAATACTATTTTGTACATTATATTCAAGAAACACAAAATTCTACCGTCTTTTTTTTTTCAGAGGGAGCATTTCAAAATGTCAAAATAAACAAATTTTACTAAGGATTATGAAACAAATACAAAATAATTCTCAAATTCTCAAATTCTTATGTTTTGAAATTTGAAAAGCATATGTTTTGTACTTTTTTCTTTCATAACATTTTTCAAAGATCCACTTTGAAAGAAAATTTATCATAACGTCACAAACTCACTATTATTACGTCCATTCAACTATCAGTTTGAATATCGATTAAAAAATCAGTTATTTAAAAATGTAATTAGATTTTTTAACCTATGGCTTCTTAATTTTATTTTACAAATTATGTCAATATAGTTGCCTTACAAGATTAAATACGCTTGATTTACTATGCCACGCTATATAATGCGCAATGAAAACCTCAATCGCCCCCTTAAGACAAAATAAGTTAACATATTTATCAATAATAAATGAATTAAAAGTAAACCAAAAAAAAAGTGGGGGTTTTTTCTTGAAAAGAAATATTGTTAATAATCATTTATATGGAGCATGTAAATACAGCATTGATCTTTATTCTATCAAAAGATATTACGTGTTGCCCTACTAGTTAAAAATTCTTCACAAAATTTTAAATGTACTGAAAAGAAATTAAGACATGTACCTGCATTCTAAGATCAATTAAAAGAAACTTTCAAAAACCTGAAAGGGACTGGGGCACAGATTTAAAGCCCATATGTCCTATTATCCTAAATAATATCATGAAGCAGGGTTCTCCATGGGCCGTTTAACGTGGCGGCCCCGCAACAGTTAAATTCCTTAGCGCCACAGTTAAAAAATCAGCGCCATAGTTCTGCCACAGTTAAAATATTAGCGCCACAGTAAGATCGTCGTCATCAGTAAGATAAATATATAAATTTAAAAACCAAATGAACCTCCAAATTATGTACCGTTTTTTAGTTTTTAATGCTAAACCGTTAATTTACTCTAATTAGGGTCCATTGTTTGACTTGCATAAGCAATTATCTTCTAGTTCTCGCTGGACGCTTGAATGAAAAAGGACAATCCATATTTTTCACACCTCAACTCTAATTGCAAATGAAATTTTTAATATTAATTAATTCTTTAATATTTCTACAGATAACCACGTCTCTAGAATTGCATTGGCACTGCGAGTCAAAAACATCGTACGTGTATCCTAGTCATGTATTTTTTTAATGTTGAAAAATTAACGTTAGATCAACCAAAATATTATTTTATGAATAAAATAATTAAGTATTTTTTTAATTCACAAGTTTTAAGATATTTCAGTCTTCAGACTGATAATTGCAAATATATATAGATGTTAGCGTAATGTCTAACTCACCAGAATTTCCTCTGTCCTTTAATGAACATTCTAATTTACTTTTTGTAAACAATTTTTTTTAAATAGGGTTTTATGTTTGAGGGTCTTTTTCACAGTATGCATATATTTTGGAAACATCCTTATTTTTGTTTTACACTATGTTTAATCGATATCGATTAATTGCTTTTATTAATAAATTTATAAATCAATTTGCCAAATAATAAATGTCTTTTGTGTATTAAACTATTGATGCATTGGGGTTGTGTGTTTTTTAATTTATTTCGTTGTTCCTACGCGAATTCGGTCGCGAAATGACCGCGAATATTAGCACTTCGCGTAAGTCTTCCGCCACAGTCAAATTTGAAATGATGGAGAACCCTGTGACGTATATGTTGTTAGAGCATTTCATACAAAAAATATTTAAAACGCGTTTAGAAACTTTTTTTAAATCTGTAAATTATGAAAGCTGCAAATTTTGGGACGCGGTTTATTGATACATATCCTTGAATTTTTACCAAGTAAACTTGATCAATAATACATCAGAAAGTAGAAACTTTTTGTGTGTTTATGAAATATTTGAAAACTTTAATCCAGAAAGATAAGAATAGACTTGCTAGAAAGCAAAACAAACTCATCAGTATTGTCGGTCCGTGCTCAGTGATGTGTCCAGACTTAACAAATTGAACACATCCGGTAAAACATAAACACCAACAATAACAGAACTCGTGCCCTGTTGACAAACACAGGTGTATGCCGGAATGTTGAGAAGAATATCGTTGTCATTGAATTCATAAAATATTCGTGTAAGTTCAAATCATTAAACTGAAGTCAGTATTTTTAATAAAATACTCATATAAAATTGTAAACAGTGAAACTGTGTCCAGGCCCCTTTAAAGCAGAGATATAATCAGTCAGATAAGACTATCGTCACCTATTTATTCATAATAGTATTCATCTTTTATCATGTACTACGATAGTTATTACCAAGAATTTTTTATCACCTTTTATAACTTTAAGCAGGTTGAATTTTACATCTTCCACTCAGAAACTTAATCCACCTAACTAGTCTGTAACCAGCTGGTTGAATAAACCGACATCTCACCTAATGTTCCAGTGGTCGGTCCTTTAAGGTAAAGTCTGTATTTGTCTGCCTCGTCGGTAATGGAGAATTGACCGTATTGTTGGTACAGAGTTTTTCCATTTGTCAGAGTTAAGGACACATAAAGAGACGGTTTGTGTTTGGTTAACAGATGAATGACGTCATTTCCTAAAAATAATAGATATTGATTAAGTAATATTTAAACAGGAAAAATAAATATCTTATTTTTTTTAAAGACGGCTATAAACGCGTACATTTAATATATTTAAAAAAGAACAAAATATCCTTGCAAATCGAAACGACCAAAGTGTCTAACGTCATTGAATTTCTTACAGATTCAAACTAAGGATACAATTTTCTTTTAAAACAAAAAAAATGTATATACCTATATACCTTACCAATAAGATAAATTAACAGAACCAAATCCCTCCTTGTACTCATTCCAAGTTCTGTTGAAACTGGTTGATCCGTCAACACGCCTCTGTATTACCTATGGGATTGATGAAGAATTGTCTTTGATATTAGTTTAACAAATCTTGATTTCTTTTTTCAGGTATAATTCCATGCACTAATAGATTGAATAATTATGAAACTGACCGTCCAACCTCCGCCCTTGGTATTCATATCACACTGGACATTAACTGACCATTGATTGTTAGAGGGATGAATAGTATAAACATTAGACAAAGTATGACCATCAGCAAACAATGCTTTACAATTCAGTGGACGTTTATTCCCTAAAATCATAAAAGAAAATGACTTAATGAGAACAAACTGAAACGAATAAACATATATACATGAATACATATCATTATTCACTCCTTTTTTATTAGAGTTCCTTATGTACAGGTTTTACTGTAATTGAAATGAGTCAAAATACCTTCAGATTCCGGACTGTAGTATCTCCATCCTACTTGAACTTCTGTTAAATTACCTGACGGACATCCCGAGTAAACTCTACATTTCTTTGTGTGCAAATTGACGCCAAAATACGTACACTCCTGACCACACATTGCTGCACACATGGTTATTGAATGAGCGCCATATTCTGCCAAAAGATTTTCATGGAATAAAATGCCGTCCATATTTAGTTGAGCGGTATACTGCTTCGACGCAGATGTGGAAAGTCCAAATGAAACAACAAACAAGGCCCAAAACATTTCCCTGTAATTGTAGCTATACATCATTATTATTTCTCCACTTTTTGAATGGTGATAGTCGATATCAATTTTATACTATTTAAGTTATTTTTTGAGCGAATTCTTTATCAATCTCTAATCGGATTGGATATATATGTTAAATGATAATCGAAAAGAAGGCGGGTCTAATTAATTAAACAACCTAGATCACATGTGTGATTTTATTTTGTAAAGCATTTTTCGTTCATAACATTGATTTTACAGTCTGAAAACACCTCACATGCTATTACATGTATTTTGAAATATTGACTAAAAATTACCTGCATAGTAGAAACTCCTTAATTGTAATGATCAAGAAACAAAGTTATAGATGTAATCCATGTATAAATAGAAATTAATGAATAAATAACTTGTGAACAGTATTGTAAATACCTTGAAAAACGAAGTGGTCCGATATTTTTTGCTGAAGAGGTTTATTTGTGCGAAGAGAGAGAGAGAGAAAGAGAGAGAGAGAGAGCTTACCAAGGTACGCAATCTATAATAAAAATCGAACCCAATTAGTGAAATATTCTCAATGGAACTCTTTCTTATTTGGAGATAGAAAAAATAAAGTAAAAACTACGTTGCGTCTGTCCTTAAACTAAGTAACTGGAAATCGGAAAACATTTTTAAAACACCCCCACCTTTATAGGTATGCTTATTAATGTCATTTAACTACTTCATACCCAAGCTGTTGTAGTTTCTATGGGAAATATTTACATTTTAAAAAACAGCAAATTTAAAGTTTTATTTAAGCGCAAATTTTAAATGAAATTTCAACAAAAAGAAAATTGTAGTTTATCAATCTTATGTGTTTTATTTTACATAAAGTAAAATTACGGATGCACAGGTTCAAAATATGATTACGATTTGAAGTCTGATTTCAATTTATAAAATTGTCTGCCCTCCTAAAAAAGGCAAGAGAAAGATTTATGGTGACAATGATAAAACTTTTACAGCTGATGTTTAACTTGCTTTAACTTCTTACCAGCATAGTCTAAAAATGGCCACAACCCCCCAGCCTCTTTAAAAGCGGGGGTCATTACAGTTTCTTAAGTCTCCGTACGATAATGAGGACGTCCCCTTTTATACTGATTTTATACGCATGTTTGTCTATTTTTCTCCTTTTAACAATAGTTGCATATTTGCATTAGTAATGCTGTGAAAGGAAATTAGTAGACAAACATGCACTCATGGTTTAAAAGAGAAAATAAACTGCTTCTTCTTACATTTGCTCTCTCTGTTGTAACCATGGGCTGTGACATGTTGAATATTATAATTTACCAAGTAATTTCTTAACTCATGTAACTTTGTGAATAATAAATTCCGTCACGTGACTTGAAAGGTAGCATGTTTTGTTCTAACCACGGACACTGTGCTCGAATACGTTGAATTGCCAGACATGGATTTAAAATATTCTTTTCCTACATGGATGGGCGCATATTTTTATATACATATTGTTATTTATCTAGCCTAATTTTAGACCCATTTTTACAATGTAACCTCCACCTCTCATGCTGTCATATCTAATGTTCAACTAAAAGCAGGTAAGTAAATTCTCTGTATTTGGAAAACAGTAAGGACAGAAAACATGGAATTAGTTTATTGTATCAGAGTCAAAAATCATTTTTAACGTTTAAATCTGGTGCCAAATTGACAAAAATCTCACATACTATAAATATACAATGTTGAAATTAGGTTAAGATATAAAAGCAACAGAAGCGACCGAAAAAGACCCAAAACACAGCGTTTAGTGCAGTGATCCTTTGGAGCAAAGCAAACTCGGACAGCTAAAAATAAAAGAGGTGGAATCAGGTGCCATGGAGGAGTAAGAATCCCCTGTCGATCGGTCACACACAAAAAATGCAATCATCTATTTAACCGAGAAAGGTTAATTCAATTGTAAATCACGGAAATTTAAAAAGATTAAAAAAAAATAAAAAGCACACAAACTAGTTTATTCATCTTAACGCATCTTATCACTTCATTCAATCACTCCTCTATTGAAATGAATATAAAATGGAACCTTTGTGTGTTTTGAATATATACCCAATTAATGTATAGTATGTTCTACTGCTATCTCTCAACTTGTAAATGTACTAGTAACTGTAGAATTTCACGAATCATATCATGCACGAGGATGTAGCAAACTTTAATTAAATGATTGATACTGAGTTCAACATTTCCGGTAATCTTACTTGTGACATATTTTTCGATGTTATAATTTTGATGCTCTTTGACTTTGACTGAAGTAAAAGAAAGAAGGTGAAATGCGTAGTTTAAGTGAGATTTTTTCACTCATTTTGCAACGCCACTACTTGCATGTAGAGGTCTGCTATTCTTAAACATATACTTGGCAATCAGGCCATTAAGGGATCTTTTTCGTGCCAACAATTACTGACACGAGATCTCGGTTTATTCAGTTTCATCCGAAGTTTCCACGTCCCGCAGATGGATTCGAACCTGCGGCCTAAGTATCATCTCCTTACTTCGTGACTCTATCGAACGCTCTAATATAACCAGGTAACATTAAATAATTGAACAACGTCATTATAAAATCCCATTTAAAAAAGCACAATTTAATGTTCAACGTATTTCATGATTACCACCACCACCATCAACACCCCCATTCCTTCAACAATAGGAAATTCGTATTCAGACTAGGTGTATATATATATTGAGCCGATCTTGACATCGAATTGCATGTTAAAATTCTGAAACGCAGAATTAGAAACTTTATTTTATGGTCAGGTTTTAATAAAGTGAACATGATATATTTTTGCGTCGCCTGCAGAGCGGAGCGACGCTAAGGGATCACATTACTCGGCATCTGTCTGTTTGTCTGTCACACCTTATATCTCGAGAACTGTAAGAGGTATGGATTTCATATTTTGCACATGTATAGCTTGACACAATGACTTTTGTATTTTACCACAGATACCGACGTCTTGATCCTTTAACTTGACCTTTGAACTACTTTTTAAAATAGCTCACATTGCCCACATACAACTTCTTTTTGACAAGTAAGAGTTGAGTCTAAGCTATTTAGCACGTCCACTGTATGTTGTAATTTTTAAAAAAAATAGCGTTAGAGTCCAATTGACCTTGATCTTTGACCTACATTGCAACATATAACGCAGAAGGTTTAATTTTACATATGTTTTTTGAATTAAGAGAGGCAGGCATTTGATAGTTAGCATTTATACATGTTTATGAGCTCAGGACAATGTACTTTGCCACTGTATGATATACAGTAACCACAGAAACTGAAGTTTAAGTACTATGAAAATACCTCGGAATTGATATTCCAAAATGGATGGTGTAAACTGACAATTTCGGTAAAGTCAGACTTAAGTCTCTTTTGAAGGATTGTTGAAAGCGCGTATTTATTAACTAATTGATAAATAATTATTTCTAATGATTTAAATTTCATCAATATTCATTTTAGCTTTGAGGGGTTGAAGATTTTTATTTCTATTAGATTATTAGATTCCATCGAAGTCTTACCAATTCTTTTCTTTGCTGCCAAGTGCATGAACTATAATGCTAGTAACAAATAAATAGCTGACCACTCTTAGATTGATTCACATCTTTGAGGAATCTAAAAGCATGCGACACTTGCGCTCCTTGGAACACTCTAGTTTCACATTTATATCCCTATGTTTCAATAACATCTCGTTATGTCTTTGAGATTTTGTTTCAATATATTGACGGTATATAAATGCAAGAATAGTAGCTTTAATTATGTCTAGGAGAAGAATAAACATCCTAGACTCGAAAGAGGACAACAATCCCTCTTCGATCTCATATCTCAATAAATCACAATAAATTTACATTCTCAATGATAAAAACTTAAGGGAGTGATTGCTGTTTTCGTTGAACATTTCTCTTGTAGGTTAAATATTGCAGCTGCAAAAATGTTCTTGTCAGATTTGTTATATGCTCATTAGCATTGGGATAATATTTATTATATCTAGCTAATAAAAAATTGCTAAAAATTGCAATATCAATCAACATGGATTATCAAAAGAGCTAGCTGTAATTATTACCGGTAAACCTACTCACAGGTTCTTGTTGCTAAATCCAAACTTGAATCCTTTCCTTTGATTACATGAAAAACAAAGAGAACGGTATCTTTTTTTTAAAATGGGGTCTATTAATTAAATTGTGTGTATATTTTATATGTGTATGTATAAATGCTTGCAAGTCCAAAGAGTCAAAGTTGTCTTTTTTTTTTAAATAATTTTTTTTATCTTAATACAAACATATTGTATTACTAATTTTTTTTTCTTTTTAACACACCATTCGCTCTCACTTTCACACTCACACATAATATATTCATTTTGGTATGTGGAAGCATACTTGTTCTTATATTTTAACAGAATGATAAAAAAAAATACATCAACAGATCAATATAATGACACACAAAAAAAAAAAGAAAGAAAGAAAAAGTCTTACATATTGTAACAGATTATAACTTATTAACATTGTCAAATAAACATTTCCAATTTTGCCAGGTATTATTAAACTTTTGCATTTCCAAATTCTGGCTTGCAATACATTTGTCAACCCTATATTTATTGTATAAGAGAAAGAGAAGTTCCAGGAAGTTTGGTAGTTTGCCTTTTTTAGACAAGAAAAAATATAATTGTTTTGTATACATGATCAGAAAATTTACAACTCTATTACCTTTAGACAACGGAAGTTCGCCTAATAAAATGTGAATTACATTAAAACCAATTCTTTTCTAAGTTATTTGATCAATATGCATGCTAAGATCACTCCATAGTAGGATACCTTTTCACATTAAATAAAAATATGTTGAATTGTCTCAACTTGATGTTTACAAAAAGAACAGCC